TTTCCCTCATTCATGGTATCCAGTCGGACTCGGGCCGAGAATTATCATAAAGCTGTTGGACAAGGGCCGGGCCCATGCGGAGCTCTATTCGTTCCCTCATTCATGGTATCCAGTCGGACTCGGGCCGAGAATTATCATAAAGCTGTTGGACAAGGGCCGGGCCCATGCGGAGCTCTATTCGTTCCCTCATTCATGGTATCCAGTCGGACTCGGGCCGAGAATTATCATAAAGCTGTTGGACAAGGGCCGGGCCCATGCGGAGCTCTATTCGTTCCCTCATTCATGGTATCCAGTCGGACTCGGGCCGAGAATTATCATAAAGCTGTTGGACAAGGGCCGGGCCCATGCGGAGCTCTATTCGTTCCCTCGTTGCCCCCAAACTGCCCGGGCCCATATGCACCTGCATAGACGCTACGCCATTGATCTTATTTGTTCTTATCTGTTCATAAAAGTTTTATGTTTAATATAAGCGACTTTGTCAATGTAGCAATGTTGATGTTGTGTCTGTGTGTTTTTCATTAAGAGTAATATTGAATCAACCTTGAGAATTCATTTTGTTTCAAGAATAGGAACGACCTAAAGTTAAAGATCAAACTAAGCGCTACAGATGTGAGAATGCGAGATTTGTTGCTGCTGAGGTAGACGCTCTTTCTCTGCTGTCTGTAGAAATTGTTGTTAATTCTTCATTTGGGTACGGCTGAGACATGTTACAGGTTATAATATAATCCAAAAATCATGGCAACAAATTATTTTTTAAGTCAGTTTAATACGTTTAATCAGTTGAAACGACGTTCACAGTCAATTTGATTCAACTTAACTCATATTTAACCGTTGCTTCTTGTCATTATAGGACTAGGCTACTTTTTTCAATGAATTTTAATGAATATACTAATTAATAAAATGAATATTATTTATTTTGTATTACATATTGTTTCATTCATTTATTTTTAACACCGCGCCCCCATTTTTTCATGGGCTACACTCCAGGAGGTGCTGCAGCACCCTCAGCACCCCTACTTCCCGCGGTAATGAAGACAGTACCCTTTAGTGATGCATTAATATAACCCCATAAATGTAATGCATTTTTGTACTTATTTTACTGTTTTTTTTCGGGATCTACTGGGACAGTGATAAAGATCTACCAGTCGATCGCGATCGACGGGTTGGCGACCACTGGTCTACAGAGATCTATTCGTGCACTATTTAAATCAGTTTTTTGGACACATAACATATATTTTATGTGGTGTCTCTTGGCTTTTCACAATTGAAACTGTTAATCCAAAATCATTCATATTCCATCTTGAGTTGCCAGGTTTTAAAATTTCACACTGCAGATTTGCAAACCCTGGCTTAATGGTCTTTCTTTTTTCTTTTTTTTTTTACATTTTAATGCATTTTGAATGACACTTTTGTTCAAAGTGACTTGCACTGCATTGAAAGTATACATTATATCACTTGATACATTCCCTGGGAATCAAACCAATGACTATGGTGGTGCTACTGCCTGTATGAGCTTCAGATATTTGCATATTTATGAGGTTAGTAACATTCATTGGACAAATACAGATTGGCCACACAGATTCTGATTTCTGTCTTCTGAAACACACAGGAAAAATCTCTAAAAAAACAAAAAAAATAAAATAAAATAATAATCACTCAAGTTAATGCATTTACTTTCACCGTTTCACTTACACCCTGAAATTAAACACAGCGTGAAAGCATATGAATATTTAATAAGGTAAGAACTGAGGCAGTTTATGATTGGTTATGTGTGAATAAACAACTTCAAAGCATTGCTAACACATTTGTGAGACTTTGCTGAACCCAGAGTTTAAAAGAGGCCTTAACTTGGTTTTAAAAAGATGTTAACCCAGGATTAAGTGTGAATTTGACAGGTCAATTGATCTTGGACTAATAGGCATGGGGTTTATAGGGCTTATAGGCATAGAGTGCTTTCTCCAAAGCCACTTCCTGTGTGATTTACAGTCTCCTCCAATCAGCACAGAGAAGAGCTGTGTGTCTTACTTCCATTCCACCATCTGTCCTGTCATTCTGCATTAGTGTCACACACATGCCACAGCACTGACCTGCAGCCATAAATCAGTCTGTTCTCTGCTCTCCGTTCTGCCCTTTCTGCCTGGGAGTCTGCCTCCTCTGCTGTTTCTTCATTCAGGCCGCACAGAGACACACAAACTCGCACACCCTCTCGCAACCACCCAGATTTTCAATCAGCCAGCGGGAGGAACCCACGGCCGTTCTGTTTATCATGTTTAGACCGATGTGGGTGCCCAGCTTTATCCCAAGAATCAAATTAAGCATGGAGCGCACTTACTCCACTCCGAACAACCAGCCCTCCCCCATCCCACCTCTTTTTGCTTATTTTCCCCCATGAGACCATTGTGCTGAGTGAAGGAAATCTGCGAGATGTTGTTTGCATTTGCCATTCTGGGAAGGAGCCAGGCATCACCTGAATTTCAGTCGAAATTCGCTTTCTTTATCTCTGAGTGTCTTCGAAGGTTTTAGTTCATTCTTCTATATCTGTGTCTTCGCACTTCACGCTTTTCTTCCAACCTTTTTTCTTTCTCTCGCTCTCTCCGACTAGTGCTGGGCTGGAAATGAATGCCGAGCAGGCAGAGGCTGCTGGTGTGACAGTAGCCAAGGCTGGCGTCATCGTATTCTCCAGTCAATTACCTTCTAATGATGTTTGAATGTGAATTGCTTTCCGTGTCCCTGAGCCTTTGCTGAGAGTCTCTCTTTAGCAGGCACCGTGTTAGAAATGAAGTTAAAGTATTTTTACAAGTGTAGAATGGCTTCCTGACTCATTGAAGACATGGACAGCTTTATTAAGGAGAGTGCAAATCTACAGTTCGGCAGGTTTGTGTACTTCTTGCAGAAACTGCATACTTTTTTTTCCCAAATGAAATAATAGGAATCATATCAATTGAATCTGGTTTAGAATTTAGCACTTCCCTTTATAAAGTTAGTTTACACAAGAGTGTATTACAACACTTAAATTATGCACAGAAATTATATTTAAAAATGCTTAGATGCTATTGTGATGCTAGATGGCATCTGGTTCTGTGGTCCCATTAACAATTTTTGACTGGACTTCCATAGAACCTTTCTATTGCACTAAATGACTTTGTAGTGGGAAAATATATGTTATATTTGTAGCAATAGCCAACAATACATTGTATGGGTCACAATTATCGATTTTTCTTTTATGGCAAAAATCATTAGGATATTAAAGATCATGTTCCATTAAGATATTTTGTACATTTCCTACCGTAAATATATAAAAACTTAATTTTGGATTAGTAATATGTATTGCATTGCTAAGGACTTAATTTGGACAACTTTAAAGGTGATTTTCTCAATATTTTGATGTTTTTGCACCCTCAGATTCCAGATATTAAAATTTTGTATCTCGACCAAATATTGTCCTATCCTAACAAACCATACATCAATGGAAAGCTCATTTATTCAGCTTTCAGATCCATGCATGAATGGAAAGCTTATTTATTCAGCTTTCAGATGTATAAATCTCAATTTGAATAAATTTACCCTTATAACTGGTCTTGTGGTCCATGGTCACACACACATATATATATATATATATATATAATTTATTTTTTTTATGTCTGTATCTGTTATGCAGTTTCTTCAGAGCAGTACTAAGTATGTGTAGATAGATAGACTGATTCTGCAAAGGGTGTGTAGTTATGATCTTATGAGCACAACTGTGCTTCATATGAAGACTCACCTATATGGATACATCCGAGGTTTAGATAATAGAGTTTATAATGATCGAATCCAGAAACTGAATCCCATTTTCGATTTGAAACTGTCATTCTTCAAAGTCAAACACAGGTGGGTTTCTTGTGGCCAATCTCGTTCAATAGCTAATATTAAAACCTGATACCATCCAGAAGCAGACGGTGCGCAGTCATGCTCGCTCATTCCCCCCTTGTAGAAGGCATTGCTGAAAAGTTCTGGTCCATTAACCTGGCTAAACATCTTGGCGTAGAATGCAGATTAACTCAGCATGCTCACCTCATCTTGGGGCCTGATCCTCTCCTTCCTTCTTCACATAACCTCACATGCCAACACATCCATAGAGCTTACGGTCTCCTTGACCTTCATAATGTCTCTTTGATTAAATTAAGGACGAAATATGTTTCTCCATGCTATCTTCATCTCTGCTGTCTGCTTTTTCCCTCTCATAAGCACAGACTTCATGAAAAATAAGACTCAGCACACAGATCCAGACTCAGCTTGAGATCAAGCTGTATTGGGCAGAGTGGCAGCTGCTCTCCCCAGGGCTCCTTGGTGCACTGCAGCAAAACTATTTCACTGTATTATTAATACTGATAATTAAGGGACCACCATGTTGTGATGTGTTTTATGAAAACTTGACAAGATTATCTAACTCAGAGGGCCACGGCAACACTCCCGTGTTGGTTAGTTCAGTATATCTCACCACCTGTCCAATGTTTTTGTCATGTCCTGTAGGTCTGGTCGTCCTGTGAGCTTCACGGTGGTCTTCAACACACCAAGCCCCATCAGCAAGATCTCCTGGGTCAACCGGTTACACTTAGCAAAAATAGCACTGAGTAAGTTTGAATTTTATCCTCCACTAACTCATGACTAGAGGTCTGTTGATCCAAAACATTGACTATGATTGTTAAGATCTAATAAGATAAATAAATAAATAAATACGAATAAATGGATTGGACTTATTATTATTGTTGTTGTCGTTGAAAACATTAAGAAAGACTATTTTAGAACCAAATGGGTCTTTTTTTATTCAGAGTTCATCCTGAGACAAATGTCAGAACATGTTAGGATCTAATAATAATAATAATAATAATAATAATCATTTTATAATAGTTTCTGTATAATAATATAGATAATAATAATACTAATATAAATGATAATAAAATGTTCTGACATTTATCTATTTCTGTATTTTTATAACAACAACATTTATTTATTTATTTTATTTATTTATTTTATCTGTATTAAAATTGCATTAATTATAAAATTGAATTAAAATCATTAATATTATTTAAATAATTATTAAGAAAGATGATTCCAGAACCAGATAGGTGTTTTGTGTTTATTCAGAGTTCATCCAAAAAAAGGAAGGCCAGAAAAAGTTTGCTGCATGCAGTAAAATAACAGACGATAAAATACAATTTCACGCTCTTATAGCTTGGTTATCTCATCTCTGCATTTACAAGGTTGTGACTTGTTGGCTCTCTTTGTGTTTGTCACATCAGTGATAAATCAGTGCAGCCAAGTTTTATTTAGGACTTTTCAATGTGTAAAATAGTTTTAATATGTTTTAACCTCAGGGCAAGGAGATATTCAGGCAATGCATTATAAACTATAACTCCCTGAAGAAATGACTATTCTTTTTATGACAAGCTAATAGAAATTGCCTCTCTGCCTCTGGTTTATTGAATAGTATTGGCATTAGAGTACTGGCAGTTTTATAACTCTAGAAAAACTGAATTTCATAAAAGATTTAGCCATGTCAGTATTGGTATAATGGTGTAACATCCTTCCTGTCTCAAATGTGCTCAAGAAGCCATGGTGCCATTGTAGATGTTTCATTCCTATGCTTATTTTCTGTATTTAAAGCACAATGCAGGCATCACATTCTTCAATTCACTATGTTGGTACACTACAGTGAAATTTTTTTTGTAGGTTTGGTTTTAGAGGATAGACTATGTATATCAATACTCTATAGACTAGCAATTTATTAACACTCAATCTGAAAATAGTACAGTATTTTAATCATAGTCTTTCTAAAGTTATCCAATTTTATGACACTATAATACTGTAGGAGTTTTTGGAGTGTTTAATCAGAAATGCAAACAGATTTCACATCAGCTGGACATTAATGCGTTAAATATTGTTTTTAGGGCCTATAAGATATTGATGTAGTAAAGATGCTTCATTGAAATTGCCACATTGAGGCATCCAGATTGTTGTAAGTTGTGATCAAGCTCTTTGAATGTAATTTTTGGGCTTGAATTGAAAATCAAATCTAGCAGCTTGGATTGTTTCATTGATGCCATGCATGAAACACGGTATCTCTGTCAGTCTGCAGACCATCAAATCTACTACTGACTGATGGAGTCTGGCTTCTCAGTGCCAGACTTGCATCTTTTTCGACACCAGCTAAAGTTGAACAAAAACAAAAGAAGTAGTTTTACTTCGAGGGGCATGATAAAAGATTACACCATCCTACTTGATGGGCAAACAGCGAAATGAGCTTAAAAAAAAGGGTGAATTGGAGTACGTCTCCATTAGCTGTTAAGTGTCTTTATTGGAACCTGGTTTTACCTCTTATATTAGAATGTAATCATTCTAAAATGCAAAGTACAATTTTCCAAGCTTTGCCTTGTTTTGTTTTTTTTTTGTTGTTAAATTATCTTGTTTTCACACCAACAATAATGGTCTTACATATGCTGCCTCTATAGCTATTTGTGAGCTGTTGTTGAAAAGACTTTTACAGCAATAGGCAAATAGCAATCTCTGTTGACACTAAGTGGATGCTGGCAGCATAAGTGGCAATATCCCTCCAAAAAAGATAGCAATGAGAGAATGACAAACATTCCTGAGAATACTTTTCTTTTCTCTCTTTCTGAGAAGACTTTTGGCTTTCTCTGCATTTCCCTGTTTGCTCTCCTGCTTTTTCTTGGCTCGCCCTTGGTTAGCTGTCAGACTTTTGTTCCATCTGAACCAAACTTGTTGACCAGAATGAGCTTAAATTCACAACTCACAGTGTAACTTTCACACTTCACTTTGCAGAGTCATAACATTTTTATTTGGAATGTGATTCTGAAAAACACATTATTTTTGTACGTCAAAACGTTGTGTTTTGTGCAGATGGACATTGTTATTCAACCTGCTGAATAACAGGTTTCACCCTAATTTCATTACTCCCACACGTTGCCTACTCATTTAGCCAAATGAAATTACAATAACAGAAATGCTGGTGCAATTTCATGGGGGGCCTGTTGTTGCCATGCTCTCTTACGTCTTTTGAGGACGTGTGGGTCTGATGTGGGCAGAAAAAAAAAACCTTTGATTGGAGTCATTTGAGACCCTTCACCTCCCGTCTGGCAGTGCATTACAACACAAGCCACTTCCTTGTGTTATCAATCCCTATATTCATCCATCCCTTAGGTCCTCTTTGACACGTATTTATCCTTCTTAACAGATCCTGCAGTCCTCCACCCCACATGTTTTCTGTTATACGTCCTGCTTTGAGGTGTAACTTTTGTCTGATATAATATGCACAGAAGCTGTTTTGTCTCTTATGAGGGTCATTAACAGGTTTCCATGATGGGTAACATATGCTTATATCTATATAAAACAGGCTGTCAGAAAACAGTGTTTGTGATATTGTTGCAACATGCTGGGAACTCATGGGGCATGAGATCGAGAGCTTTAGCATGACTGTGGATGAGTGTGTCCTGAGGGTTCCATTAATTATGAAGATGTGGTTCAGAAATTGCCACCACAATAACATGTGGTGCAGAGAAAAGGCCCAAAGGGTTCCTATCAGAAATGCCCAGTTCTAGTGAATCGGTTCTAATATGACAGATCATGTGAACAGACTGATTCAAAATTGAAATTATTTAATTATTATTAATAATTAATAATAATAATTATTATTAATTAATTTAATTAATTAATAATAATTATTATTATTAATAATGTTTTTATTATTATTTTAATTATTATAAATTATTATTTATTAAATTAAAATTGATTTATATTAGTGCTGTCAAACAATTAATCGCCATTAATCACATCCAAAATAAAAGTTTTTATTTACATAATATATCTGTGTGTACTGTGTATATTTATTATTTATATATAAATGCACACACACAGTATATATTTTGAAAATATTTACATATATTTACATGTATATATTTTACTGGTGTCAATTAGCGCGTTAGCGATTAATTATTTCAGTTTAACGGGTTAAAAATATTTAACACAATTAATGCAGGGGCGGGGCTAGGGTTGGCCACCCCACTCACAACTGCTGCTTCTGTCACTTTTTCTCTTGACAAGAACATTTATTCAGTCGTAGAATGACTGAGAATGGGAGACGTTTCAGACGCGCGCTCCACTTCACTTCAGTGCCAGGCGCGAGTCAAACGAGTGCGGAAACGGTACTGTGCTCGCAGCGCGTGCTCTTCAATTGCACGCACAAAGGCGCCGGCGCGTTTAAGTCACATTTAAGAACATGTCTCTGAAAACAATTCCAAAACAGCGCCAATGGGAGGGGAAATTTCTGCAGGTGATTTACTAACAATGAGCAAATTAAGGAACACAGATGCAACATTTCATTTACATATTGCCCAACGCAATATAGCAGCTTAAATTAGCGTAGTAGCAAATAAAGCATAAAAAAATAAAGAAGCCACAGTGCATTGAAAAGAACCGGAGGCCAAAAAATGAAGGTTTGATAGACCTGGTATTGTGTGACTCCTAGTTGAGGGTTCCAAGTCATCTTTTATTTCCTGAACCAACTTAAAAATAATATGGCTTTGGAAACGAACATGTCTCTGAAATGGTTTTCAAAACTGTCCTGGAGCAACCCAGCACTGCCTCACTCATCTAACACACCCGATTTAACTCGTCAGCTCATTAATCGAGACTTTAAGACCTGAAGTGGGTCAGAAAAGGTAAATAGAGTTGAGAGAAAATATGATGCGTGTCAGATCCATGTCACGATCAGCAGCGGCAGCTCTTAAAGAAATAGCAGCCAATACAACCAGCTGCTGTGATGTCTTAATCAAAGGACAAAGAAAAAAAAAAGGAAAAAATAACTTTTTTTTTATAGCTGTAAGGATTCATTTAGAATTTAGTGTTTGATAACTTCAATTTCAATTTCTGTATATTTCTGCTGAAGGGCACAGGTAAATATGCCATTTATTATACTGGGTTTATGTGAAGATTGTTTTAAGTTCACTTAAATTAGAAGAATTTTTTAAAGTCTAATAAATGTTCAAATTGATAGCTCTCACTTATACTGTTGAATGGCTATAGTCAATGGTTAAATATGGGGGGGGGGAATTTTATAGAGAAATCAGTATTGGTATCATTGATAAGGGTTCCAAGTCATCTTTTATTTCCTGAACCAACTTAAAAATAATATGGCTTGGCAAACGATATGTTCGGATAATGTGTTCTTCTGGCATTCCAAATAAATTAATACATGTGGAAAAAATCCTCTTCCTCTCTACCCTTCTCTCTATTCTCTGCGGTGCCTCCTCCTAGCAACAATAATTGCAGCCATTTCAAGAGCAACATAGTTTAAGACGTTTTTTTGGGCGTTAAATAATGGTGCAAATGCCAGTAATTTGACGAGCGCAAACGTTAGTAAAACGCGTTGCGTGA